TGATGTCATAAAAAATAGTAGAAGAAATGCATTCTATTTAAACAAAATATAAGCAGAAGTAACCTCTAGTTATTACCTTTAAGCTTCAGTAATATAGTTACTTTTAAAGCAAACAAAATATGACTTAACAAGTACGTTTACCTTAACCAGACTTAAGCAACCATTACCATAATTGTACATTTTATTAGGCTCCCATTGACATAACAGGCCTCTGTCCAAAAAAATACAAGTTTGGCTCCCACACACATAAATATCGGTTCAGGAAAATTATTATCTGCACCCATCATCGAAACATATTTGTTTAAGTTCAGCCCAAAAAAATAATAATAAAAACAAAGACGCGCCAAAACGAAGCAGAAAATATCGATGTTAAGCCAAAGACAAAAAGAGGCTTTCCCACAAAACAAATTCCCATGGCCCTATGCCTAAGCATGCATAATTTTAATTTATTTGTAGCAGCAACGGCAGCAGCAACAACAGCCCCCAAAAACAGCAACAGCAACAAATAACTGGCCAACTAATAAAAGTAAAAAGCCAAAACCGCTCACAGTCCAAAATGAAGCAAAAGCCGGGCTAAAGCACTGATGCTGGGGCCAAGGAATATTTATGGAAATACCTTCGGGGCGGAGCTCCCGAATTGCGAAAACGTTGATCAAATTTTGCCAGATAAGCGACGACGAAGACGAGCGTGGATGATGATGGTGATGGTTATGGTTGTGGTCCAAAGGCATCAGTCTTGTGATGTGAGCGTGACTGAAGCATATTGAAATTGGTTTCGAATTTAAGCAGGTGCAAAAGTCAATTTAATCGCATCAAGGAAATTGTTATGGCTGGATGAAGGCTTAGAAGTTCTAGTGAGTTTGAAAGGGTAATCTATATCTAATATTAATATAGATTACATTTTCCTATTATAAGCTAGATGGGGAAAAGTGAAAACAGTTTCGGCTTATTATCAGCGGTTAGAACTCCTTTGATCATTGATAATTTTGACTTATTTTCTACTACGTGTGACATTGAGCTCCCAGCTCGTGACTCACGCTGCCATCACTGGCCCCATCAAGCTCATATGCATGTCGAGGTCTCCGAGTCATCAGGCAAAGGAGTAGGAGTTCAGGGGGTCTCTCGGACCAAAGAAGGCAGCCTTCAGCTCCAGCTCCAGCTTCAGCTTCAGCGGCTGCTGCCGCCTTACAACGTCATCAGTTTTGGAAGGCGTTGCCAAAGAGCAACCGCCGTGGCGACTGTGGGAACTCATGTTGCATGCTGCACACATACAACTCACCACGATGCTCTGCCCGGCCTCCAAAACCCTCTCTCCCTTCCTCCCTGCCAGCTGCGATATCGTGCCTCTGAAATCTGCATTTGGTCCGAAGCCCCCAGACTCGGGGACTCGGACTCGTTTGCATTTCTTACTCGCAGCGGCCTCGTCAGATTGGCTGGCGTAATCTGTTTTAACTTGGCCCAAACCCAAAGCCAAGGCTCCCAGCTCCCAGCTCAAGCCACTTGATGGTGGATGGATGGATGGATGTGTTCTGCGCACTCCCCACTTCCGACGGTAGTCGTGCTTTGGTTATAAAAATTGAAGCCGCCATTAAATTCTGACAGTTGTCAGCTCTCTCTCTTAGTTGTGGTCGCCGTCTTGGTTTCAGTTTCATTCCCCCTTCCGGAGTCCCAAGTTAAGTAGTTAGAGGAGCTGGGATCGGTCTGGCTTAATGGCTGCTGTACTTGGCCAAATGGCCGAGGATCGTCTGAACTAGGGATTTGGTTAAGTGCACAGAAATAATTTTATTTAAATTAATTTAATGATGAGTATAAGAAATAAATGAAGTCGAAAAGGAATCTTTGTAGCGATCTAGTTAATATAATTTTTTCCATTTAAATTATCTATTTAATTGGGAATATTCTTTTAAAATTCAATAGACTACATAATATTTTATACTCCTAGATTTTTTCCAGCGTATGAAACCACGATCTGTAGAACGATCTCTCTCCCAGCAATTTGCAACTCAAAATGCCCGCTGAGCATTTAGTTGGTAATAGTTTTGGCCTAATGGGATAACGAATTGAACTTTAATGCCCGGCCAACTTATCGAAATTGTCTACTTCGCTTATGAAAGGCTTTTTGAATGCGGAATCTGTCATAAATTACATTTGATTGATGATTTTGCAGTGCGCTCGTTGAGTCTATTTTAATACAATTAATAAATCATCAGTTAAGTTCAGCGGGTGATCGGTTATAGCGTTTATTTTTGTACTGATAAACACAAGTCTAACATTATTTATAAATAAACATATGTACGGGACAAACGCGATATCAATCTAACTCAGCTTAAAAACTGATTTTAGCAAGGCTTACATTTAAATAGAGAGCTAGTTAGTGGGGTTTACTAGGGGTAAATTTATATAAATTGCGATAAAAAGGGTGACATATTAATGCAAAGAATAATTCAATTGATTTGATTATATATACATATATGAATATTTAAAGCTTAAGAAAAGGTTATTAGGTGGAAAATATATTAATTTTAGATACCAATTATTATGTTATGTATTCTTAGTTATAATTAGAATTCGGAATGCATTATTTTGAATACCTTTAGCTTTCTTAGCTTCACAATATCTTCGACAACCAACTCCTTTTGTTAGCTTTTCTCAGGTAGCAATTAGAGCTATCAGTCAACCGGCTGCAGCTTGATGAGTTCAAATTGCTACTGCACTCGCCCCGTACACGAACCCATCTTCATTTATCATTTTCAATAATAATCAAAAGCCATGGAAAGCGATGAATGAGACCAAAAAAAAAGGCGTCAGCGGCCTCCAAGAATCCCAGACAAAAGCTGACAGACTGCAATCAAGGTGGAGCACCGAACAAAGGAAGCTGGGCGAAGAATTGCCGTCTGGCGGGGTTATTAAAAAAGAATTTGCATAAAAGACAAACCCGAGCACGGGCTCCCTCTTTCCACAAACCACAAGGATTAAGCAATAAATAACTTGAGTGCTGGAGAACTGGCTGGTGGTTAATTTTCTATGAAATTATATTCAAATTAGTTTGATGTTAGCCGTCTGTGCAGAGGCTCAAAACAGTTGTACAAATGGCATAATTATGGGATAGACACAAAAGCAACTTTGAGATCACTTTGAGGGCACTTGAAATTATGCTAAAATGCCAAACGGGGAGGAGGTGTGACCAAGAGGTACGAGGTACAGGTAGAGTCTGTTGTCGACAGGCACGAGGCTTGACTGTGGCCCGGCTCTCATCAATTATCCACGTGCTCACAGAGGCTGGCAATTTGTTAGATGTCGAGGCGGTGGGCTGGCCCAGCAGTTGAGGGGAACTCGCTTTTGACACCTCTGACGTGATTATAACACTTTTATGGTTAGTTATTAATGATTTTCATATTCAATAGAAGACAAGAAGAGGATTCTCAAACGAAAGAGGAAAGCTTAGACTCGAAGGCAGTTTTCTGGTTAATAACTCGCCTTCTTACTTCTATATTGAGATTTATTACGTTTCCATTAGAAAATCATTTTTTATTACATAGCAATATTCTTATGCATATTTTATGATTATTACCTTAGTAAAGCATTTAAAATATATATGATACATCTTTAATTACCAGTCTCATTAGCCAAATAAGATACACAGCTTACCCCACACGAATTACCCTAAAGGCTTTGAGCTCATTTCCATAATGCCGACAAGAAAAATACATAATTTAATTGCTCCACATGCGATTTCATTTCCTGAGCCATGTAAATTTCCACCGACCGAGACATTTATCAGACAGAGCAGAGCAGCTCGAAGCAGATATTCAAAACTCGACCATAGAATATTATTCATTCCGGTCTTCTACCAAAAACACAAATAATATTGCGTGCAGACAACAGGCGATTTTGTGAGAGAGACACCGAAAAGGGAAACAGAAGTCGTCTTTGGCCAAGAAGACGAACGACGATTGGCTGATGAGAGGGCGCTGCGATGATGTTAATGTTGCGCCTGATGATGATGTCGTCTTGAAGAAGGCTAAGACTGGAGACTCTTGAGGGGAAAAGTGGATGTGGCCCAGTGGAAGTGTCTGCTGATGGGGCTAATGATATGAAAATGAGTCCCGGACTCTGCAGCTCAGATGACACGAATGTGTGAGCAGCCATAGCCATGGTATATAGCATATAGCATATAGCATAATCATTTCATTTTATGAATGAAATAAAGGCCGCATAATAAATCAAAAGACACACACGTTGCCAAATCGGAGAAGGAGCCACGAATGAGAGATGGATTCAAAACGAAGCAGACTTAAAACGAAGCGTGATCGGGACAGGAAATGGAAATGAGCTTGCATATTAAAAAAGCGAGAGGAGATTAAAGGATGTGATTTTGAAACCACATATAAACAATAGGAAGTTAGAATGAATACTAAAGTCACTATAAAATTTCAGTTGCTCTCAATTTATTACTTTTTACTACAAAATATTCATACAGAAATTATTCGACATCTACATCATTCCCAATTTATATTAGAAAACTTGAGAAACCTTTGAGATCGACATACAACATGTTTCTTTTAAAATCAAGATACTATTTTAAAAATATTATAATTACCAGAATTAAACTTTTCATTCGAATTTTTAGTTTTTAAACATCATCTGGGTGCAGACATTACTTGAGACTTTAATTCTATTATTATGCATTATCTGGATTACTTGAGACTTGAGACTTTAATTCACTTGAAATGGCCCCAAAAAGTATGCTATTATGCATTGTCTGGGTGCAGACATTACTTGAGACTTTAATTCACTTGAAGTGGCCCCAAAAAGTATGTTAAGTCATTTTAGCTTTACCTACTTGTTATGATGCGAGTATTTGATACGTTTAATTTTCGAGTTATTCCTTAACTATTACCTTCTTATGTTAAAGTTCTTCTGAAATCTGTAAAAACTTCTCAGGCTCCCCTCGCCTTGCTGTTGCAGCTGCCAAAATAATCATAAAACATCAAACTTACCGCCTGCATTTTGCATGTTGTTGCTGACGTTGCTGTTGTCGTCATCATCATCACCATCACCATCTTCATCATCATCGATGTCTTTTTCGCGGTCAATTTTTGTTGCGGCTTGTGTTGCTGTTGGCGCCTGCAAAGTAGCTGCTGCTGATGTTGTTGCTGCTGTTGCTGTTGCTGTTGCTGCTGCTGTTGCTGTTGCTGTGATTGCTGGTAGTGATGATGTTGCCATTGTTGCCTCGGGCAGGGCATCATTTTGCTGTAATGCGACTAATGAGGCGGCAAAATTGACGTGTTGCTGCGGCGTGAAGCTAAAGACCGACGTTGCCGCTGATTGAGTTGTTGGCTCGCTTTTAATTGTTGATGCAGTTGTATGTTGTTGTTGTTGTTGCTGCCAGTATTCGGCGGCAATCAAATGCTGCAGGCTGTGCGTAGGCAAATGCTGACCAAATAGATTGCTCAGGTGTTGCAGCGGTGAGCTGCTGCTGGCAACATGTTGCTGCAGTAGCTGCTGCTGCAGGAGCAACTTTTGCTGCTGCTGGTGTTGCTGATGATGTTGCTGATGCTGCTGATGCTGCTGTTGCTGCAAGCTGCTCTGGAGATGGTTATGATGATTATGATGATGCAGCGGATGGTGGTACATCAGTGGGGATGTTGCAACGGTATCGATGACCTCGCCATTGATTTTATATTTGGATGTTGTTGTCGGCGTTGACATTTTTAGCTGGCTATGGTTGTTGCTAATGTTGCTGTGGCTGCTGCTGCTGTTGCTGCTGCTGCTGCTGCTGCAAGTGTTGCTGCTATCTCGATTCGTGTTGCAATGACTCTTGTATTCAAGTAACATGCCGTTGTTGCTAGCAACCCGCTGTCGTTGCTGATAATAGTTTGCTAGCAACAATGGCATAATCAGTGTTTACGGCTAACAGCGCCAACAGCAGCAACATAGGTAATCAGTTCCCAAAAGGAGTTCTTGCTCACAAAACACACCTCAAAAGTTCTGATTACGATGGCCGATAGCCGATAGCCGATGCCCGATGGCCGTTGCCTGCCGCAAAGTTGGTCAAGTGGACAAAAGGCCCGGCTGTAATTAGGCAAAGAAGATTAATTAGCCATAAATGGGTGTGCGTAGTTCTCCTGCGAGGGGGTGCTCCACTTGGGGGCCATAAACTATGCCACAACCAATTGTCATGGTAATAAATAAAAAATTTTCAAATACTTAAGAATATCCAGCGCGGGAGAAAATTCTAGGCGGAGCCAAAAGCCAAAAGCCGCAACAATTAGAAATTCACAGAGAGACCGAGGAACTGAAAACTCAAATCGCATTTTCAGCTTAGCGGGGAAAATTCATTTATGCAAACTCATCACTCCGCACGCAAAGTTTGATGGACATGTGAACTTGTTTTATCTCGCGTCTTGAAAAGCAGCTTCTTCGCTCCGTTTCTCACCTCTTTCCTCCTGGTCTTTTCTCTCCTATTTTTTGTCATTTTAATTAGTTCAATTTCGGTTTATGTTATTTTGCCTAAATCTTCTCTCATCGCCTTGAAATTTCACCCGGGCGACAGAAGCAATAACATGACAGAGCTGAAAATTAAAATCCGAAAATGCCAATTCATTGTTTCTTTTGTTTTGCTTATCGGCCAGACCGAAGATGAGGGTACAGGTGGAGAATGGGCTGAGGCCCAAACAGTTGACAAAAAAAATATCTAAAGTCTGTCAAACGGTAGCAGACAAATCGAACCGAATATTCATAATCGCTAGAGGAAGGGTAATGGCCAGCAATTATGCACCATAAGAAAACATTGTTAGTCAGGAAAAATGATTTCGTAATAACATAGAATAGGATCGTTAGGATAGTAAAGCACTTACAATATTTCATCTTAAATAATGATTATTTTTTATTTCTTTTAGTGTGATACCCTTAAACGGGTATTACAATTTTAGTCAAGCTTTAAACGTTGTGAAGCAATCATTTCAGACCCTATAAATCATATATATTCTTGATCAGAATTAACAGGCGAATCTTTCTAGCATTTTCGCAAAGGAACATTTTTTTATTACTTTTTTCAAATTTTTTAAGGGTTACAAATTGTAAACAATTGATCAAATTTTTAATTTTTTAATCTTTTAATTGAGTATATAGATTATAAACCTAACAAAAACTAAGATAATTTTTGACTAGTTATAAGTTTTATAAGATTTCGATTTCCTACAAAAATTGGCAAATTTTGATAAACCTTGATTTAAAGATTAAGCTTTTTTATGATCGATTTTCGATTCGATCCTATAATTAATTTGCAAACTGCAATTGTGTATAAACTTGGGCTGCCTAAAGATATTTCATATTTATTTTCATACATAAATTAAATAGTTAATATTTTAATATCTCCCAAAAATCCATCATAAAATTCAATAAGGTTTCCATGTTTACCTAGTTTGCCGTTCCATATAGATTACAAATTATAAAAGCATATATATAGGAATATAAATTTATTGTTCAATGCCAAATATTATCTTTGAAAAAATGTATATATATATTTATTTTAACCTTTGATTGCGATGTGGGAGCGGTTCATTACTTCATGGTATAAATATAGATAATTTGTTGTATAATCTTGATCAAATTATTGTGATTTTTTATATTATTATTGTTGCTATGCTTATAACAAATATCTTTTCTAAGATTTTGATAATGGAGTTTTATGATTTCATATTTCATATTGCCAACAAACCCAAAATAAATCTCAGTGCAGCAATCGATATTTACCAACTGCTAGACGCTTTCAGCTTTTCTCCTACAGATAGACAGACTCCGATCTCGGCGTCGTAATTACAAGTCATCTACCTGATGTTTTTGACCATTTAAGCCACAAACGAAGAAGCTGGCCAGAGTTGAATAGACGGGGCGGAACAGTAGCCGTTGTATGATCTAGCCAGAGCGGGGCGGTACGGGGGTAATCATATAAAAATAAAATAATAATCAGACAATAAACACCGACAGAAACAAATTTCCATTCAGGTATGGAGCCTAAACACGCATAATTGCTAATGCCATTTAAATGTGCGTTCATTGCAGAGAAAAGAACACTTTGTTAAGCCCAAGTCATGTTCTATTATTAAAGTCAAAGGAGTTTTTTGTCGGTTCCGATCTCCCGATCTAGATCCGACTGCAGCGGAAATGTGAAAAGTGACGGGCCGATTTCTCTCCTTATCATTGTTATATATTTACCCAAAAATTAAACCCTATAAGCGTATTACGAAACTTATTTTTGGTTGCAAAATGGGAACAAACTGTTTCTCCAAAAGGCTTACAGGTTTCAGAAAAATAGAACAGGGAGAAGTACTTTTAGCTAGAAAAGTCCAAATATATATAAAATATTATTTAATATTTATATTACAATTATTGTTTAATGTTCAATGCAAGCTGCTTCGATTGTTACGTTTTAAAGGTATTTTAATCGATAATTACATCGATAATTTTCCAACTCTAGGAGACAACTCTAAAAATGCTTTTCGTCAGGGTGCCGTAGCAGTCTTTTCATATGGATACTCATTGGTTCTGTGCTCTTGTCACGCTTGGTCGTATATTCTTTATGTTACTTTGTTTTATTGCAATTAATATTGCTTTATTTCTTTTTCTTATTTTATTTGTTATTATTAAACCTGTAACATATATTTGCTTACAATCATCTGTTCCAGGATTCTGCAGTACCTTCACATTCTCAACAAAGTTTCTCTTTTGAAGATTTATTAATGGCAGGCTCTAAGCTAATCAATTTCAGCAAAGGCCTTAAATATGTTTAGGCGAACATTGACAATAATAGTAATTTATTTATAACCGAGAAAGGGGACTTAAAAATGCTAATAGAAGTTTAGCACAAATAATTTCATTTAATGCATAAACAAATAAAATGGTCACGCATCGATTTTCTTTGCCTCCTCATTTTGTTTTCCTGTTTTTTATATTTATGAATAATGGGCGCCATTCGTAAAGTGCCAAATAGAGATTTCAGCGTCTCAAGTTGGCTTAGCTGGGGCTTTGAAAAATCGGCAGCCAAAAATGTTAAGTACTAAATGAAACAATTTGTGACTTACCAACTAAGACAAATTAACCCCACCATTGTAGCTCAATAATAATTAGGTTCAGTTTACTGATTGCCTGTCGTTGCTGCCATACGTAAGTACATTCGTTCCAAATTCCTAATTCTAAACAAATTATTTGTCTTTCTATCTAGACATCATCATTTCCCCATTTGGCACTACCCGTTGCCTTTGACTCATTTCCATTTCTTGGTATCACCCAGGGCCCTGGCCCTGTTCCTGTCCCTGTTCCTGTCTTGATAACCGTCTGGTTTGTTAACTAGCCAAGTCTTACTGTAATATTAATGAATGACATTCATTGTTCTTGCCTTTTTTTTCAACTTGTGACAAATTTTATTTATTATTACTTTTAGGTTTTTTTTGTTCTTGGTTTTTAGTGTTCCTTTACTGGCAGGCGGATTCTTAAGAACAGACGCCGATCTAATAAATGATTATCACGTGGCAGTCAGTTAGTCAATCAATCGATTTATATTAGAAAAACACTTGAATTGAGGAAGTGAAAAGGTCCATAAAGGGGAAAGTACACGACTTGTACTAACTCCGGATCTCAATAAACTGGAAATTGCTTCCTAGAATTGTGATATGAGGCTTTGGCGTGCTCCCTATTGGTTTATGATAAGAATATCTATTCGAATATTATTTTCAAGAATATAACGTTACTATCTAAGCAATATTTGCTACCAGCTAAAAGAGTTTACAAGCAGATACTATAAAACACGGATTAAATTCATAGGCAAGCGTTTTGCTTGTATTTTAAGGACCGATATTCTTACGGGCTTTTAAAGATATCGGGCTTAAAAATATCTCATTATTTGTGGATATTCTTAGAAGTGAGTTCTGCCGGTATACCTTAGAGTACCTTTTCGCTTTCTTCTTCTGCGTTAATTTTATATTCTTCCGATAATTATTTTCTAGTTGTATTTTTTATAGCTTTGACAATATAGTTTATTATAGTTATTGGCCAGTAATCTTTTTTTGAATAGGACGATGCCTTAACAATTCCCAAAAAACCTCACCTCAACCCATTCTCACCCTTAATAACCAATCAGTACTTGAGGCCAATAGTAAGTACTATCGCACCGGACCTTACCTAACCCAAAAGATTGGAGTCCGACTGAAAAAAAAACCGGTATGAGCCGATTGCAAAGATTGCGAAATGTGAAACGTGTTAAAAAGAAAACAAGCCCCCAATGAACTTTGCACGGACCAAAAAACATCAGCCCATATTTCCCGAATCTCTATTGTTTACGCAAATTCCCAGAACCGTGGCAGCAAGCTCAAGTGAGTTGAAGTGTTGGAGAGCCACAATAAATGAAATCAGGTGAATTTAATAAACTCTAATCGCAAGCCTTCAACTTATTTGTTAATTTTGCAAATTATATTTTATTGGATCGTTCGTATCGCGCTTCCGATTGTGCAGCAGGAAAGGGAAGGGGGCTTGGACAGGACCCTTGAGCACTTTGAAGTTGTATCTTATCGATGCCAAAGAAATCAATAACTTTTATCTATCAGTCGATGACTCGGTAGAGTCTTATGTGCAGTCTTCTGATTCATATGTAAATTATTATACCCAAATTTATTGTTTAGATAAGACTCTTCAGTCCAATGATATTTGCCTTC